TCTGCTTGCTTTTTAAGGAATTCATGAGACTTAAAGGTGTTTTTTTATTTCTTTATAAATTTTAGAGCGAAAGGTACACGGATACACACATTTTCACACATACCAGCTGACTGATCCTAAACCCATTTTCAGGTAGGGCAGCAAAGGGTGTCCTCATTACTGCCTGTGACTGTGTAGTCATCACTCGGTCACAGCTCCTGCGAGCTGAATGGGATTTTACCATCTTTTTTTCCTCTTGGTCTTCCGCCTTCTCACCTCAACTTCTCTTGCATGTCACCTTATCTGTGTCTCAGACAGCAAATCAGTACGAGGGAGGAAAGACAATTCCCTGTCCCCAAGCTCTCCTTTTCACAGTCAGAACTTTGTTTTAATTTCTCTGTTATTATTATTATTTTATCATAAAATGTTTTTATGAAGAAAAAGAATAGGAATATTTTAAGCAAACTTTTAAGCCATGTAGAAAAAAAGTAGACTTATTTTATTATTATTCATATTTAAAAAAAAAAGCATGTGCACTTAGTGATGATCAACATCAATGCTCAGTTAACAGTAGTCATAAAAATGTTTTAAATTATTAAAAAAATAGGATACTCTACTTCTCAATGGCTAGCATCTGTAGAACAGTATTCATTATAACTTCTTGTCGGCACATAGTGACATTTTTAATGAACTAACAGAGCAAACGTTAAACCAGTGTAGATTCCACAAACAACCCAGGTTAGAATATCAGTTATAAACTTCCTTCCTTCCTTCCTTCCTTCCTTCCTTCCTTCCTTCCTTCCTTCCTTCCTTCCTTCCTTCCTTCCTTCCTTCCTTCCTTCCTTCCTTCCTTCCTTCCTTCCTTCCTTCCTTCCTTCCTTCCTTCCTTCCTTCCTTCCTTCCTTCCTTCCTCTAGTAATCCAGTCATGTTGCAGATGAAGCAAACATGTGAAAAGAAGGTGTTGGCAAAATGTATGCCTTTTGTCCATCAAAAAAGCAGAAAATAAACATGGCTGATAAGAAGGAACTCACCATTTTTGCAGAAAAAACGCGACAGGGGTGAATGTTCACCAGGAATGGCATACAGTAACTTGATTATTCAAGTTAAAATGGCCCAGTGTGAGTCCAGTACAAAATCCAAGGGAGCATTGGGGCCATTACTTGTATATTGTTCTTTATATACACTTTCTGTTAAACCTGAATGAATGAGGAGCAGCTATTTTTCAAAAAATAGAATAAATTAAATGTTTTTTTTCTGGATGTGGAAAACTCTGGCTGACAGACAATTCTACTTTGTGCTGATCTATCAAATCTTGTACCTTTTTAAACATCATTTGAAACAAAACCGTTAGGTTTCCTTTGAAATCCAGTGATTGTGAGTCACAATCAAGAGTTGTAGAATTAATAAAATCTTTTGAAATAAGACATGAAGTATAAATAAAAAGCAGCAGGATCATTCAAATGTAATATGTATCTTTATTTTTAGGAGAAAAAAAAATAGCTTTCAACTTAACTTTGTATTACAGAAATAATTTGATTGAGATATAATGATTCAAAATAAATTTATAAATTAAATATTAGCATTTTCTCGTCTCTTGTATGAAACGCCAGCAAATTTTAAAATGCCAGCCACTTGAGGCAGATTGAATGCAGCAGAGAAATTTTGAGATAAATGACATTCACATTTTCTTTCATTTTGTCTTTAAACTCCCATCAGTGAGCCTCCACATTTTATTCTATGCTTTTCATGTCATACTTATCCTAAGCAGGGTTGGGTTGAGAGGATCTTGAATGTATTTCTGCTAAAGAACAAGTCTAAAATATCCAGTGTATTGAATCGTATAACTGCAAAACTCACACTTTATTTTTATTTGATCTGTCTTTTCCACAGAAACCTCCTCAGCCTCTCTGCATGTGTTCTAAACAGCAGTGATGTGTGTGTCTTTTTTTCTCAGATATAAGCCCATAACCAAGGTAATCATATACTGGATCATCATTAATAAAAATGATAAAGGTAATAAGATATAAAACGTTTTATTACATTGAAAACACTCCAGTTTTCCATGCTCTTCAGTTCACAGACAAGTCAGTGTCCGTAGCATTGGCCTAATTCCCAACTTTATCATTTGGTTACCTCATATTCTTTTAATCTATCCATTTTGCTAAAGCTTTCTCCACCATGTTGCTGTTTTACTTGAAACATGCTGTATCTTCAAAGCATCTTTTGTCTTTAGCCATAATGTACCATTATACCTTGCATGATGGAGCACAAATGGAACCACATGTGGCGCATTTCAAGTGGCAAGAGCTATATATTAACCATGTAACATACCATATGCACACATGTGTAATCTGTACTTACACAGCTGGAAGAGGATTTAAGGACATGGAGAACAGAGCATAGGTTTATACATTTTTCTTCTCCTGTGGGAAAATAAAGGCTCCAATAGTTCCAACACACATTCATATACATATACTTAGACACACCGTCCTGTGCTGCAAGTCATACTCGATATGCAGTAACGTTTCTGATGTGGTGACTGTTATTTAATAGCGTACGACCAGAAGTGGTTTTCATAAAAGAGAAACGGTGAGGACAAGACTTTTTCTTGCTTGTTGAGGTAGAGATGTTTCAGACTCGTTTGTTAAATAAAAAGCTTGAGGTATAATGGATTTCTGCAAATGAGAAACAACATCAGGGCTAAGGAGCTATTTGAAGGGGCTGTCAAAGGCTTTCTCTGTCTTTATCTTCCTCCTTTCATCTTTCCCTCACCTCTTATCCTTCCTTCTCTCAGCTTCTCATTAGTGATGGTTGTGAAAATGAAGAACAAAGCACAGGAACTGCCAATCGATCTCCAAGCAGAGCCCTCAATTGATTGATTGAGCACAGGTCTCAGGGATGCACACAATTGATGTGCCAAAGACTGATGAGGGAGATTGTTGTGTGTCTGCTTGTATTTGGGTGTTAATACATTGTATCAACTCTAGGATCTAGACTATAGAAGATGTTTTCTCACTTTTTTTGCTGTACATTTTAATTTGTCACTACATTAAGACAATTAGGACTCAGGTGAGAAATGCTGTACTGTTTGAGAAAAATTGTTGACATATTATTGACATATTGACATATATTAAATTTTTTATTCTCCCTTTTAAGGTTTAATTTATTTCAAGGTGGAATGACTTAAATATTGTGTTCAAATAGGCTGAAGTATACAAATATATGTGCAAAAATAAGTGCCTGCTAACAAGTTGCAGAGGACCCACTTGGTGTTTTTAGAAATCTGGCTAGATACGTGATAGGGATGGTACGATTTATGAAAACTGTCCGAACCATTCGGTTCGACTGTCTCTGTTCGATTCGCGTGTGTTTCGTTCGGTTCATGCGCTGCTCCTTTTTCTCATAGGCGAAGGGTTTACACTCCAGAGCAGAAGGTGGCGGTACTGCGACCAAAGCCAACCACCAGTAGTAAACAAGAAGAAGAAGCAAAGCAGCGTAGCCGGGTGTAGCAGAAAAAAATCAGTTGTTGTGGAGAATTGTGTGGGTATGGCGAGTGGGAAAGAGGAAGGGTTGGAAGACGCGCCAGCAGCACTTTATAGGTCTGCTGTATGGGACCACTTTGCATTTAGAGTGACCTACGATGACGGCGGAAAGAAACCGAACCGAAAACCGTGACCACGAAACCGTGAACCAAACCGAACCGTGGAGTTTGTGTTCCACCCCTAATACGTGACCTTTTCTTGTCAGAATGAATAAGGCTAATTTGAAATAGTTTGCTTTCTAGTACTAATGGTTTTCAAGCAAAAATCCACAAATTTGTGTCTGTTAATTGGCTCTCAGAAACATTCAACAATAAGTCAATTTCAAGGTGACGCATAATAATTTAGATGTAGTCTTTCATGTTCCACTTTGCACCACTCTGTGCAATGCATCAGTACCACTGACTTTCAGCATGGTGGTCCCACCACTGTGCCTGAAAGGTCTATGAGCCTTATCTTGAATATCTAAAAAGGTATACTTGCAATTTTGGGCAAGCAACTCAATCTGTTTCTTCTCTAATTGATTGTATTTTTCCCCATAAGTTTTTGAGCTTGTTGATCTTGGTCTTGCAGGGTGATTGGGGCTTCAGCGTTTTAAAGTTTCTAATAGGCTTGTGTCGAGGTTGTTGCTGGCTTTATCTTAATCATTGTATCCAATTTCTCTCCATCGTCTGTGTTTAAGCTAACAACTTTACCAATGTAAATAAACTCTAAAATTTCTGTTAAGAGGACCGGTCAGATATCATATCAGGATTATGGAAGACAGTGGTTCAGAAATCATACAGTCTACGAGAACTTTACTAGAGGATACCAAACATTTGTGCAGGTGTATGTATATATTTGAACTTACAAGCAGAATTTGTGCCTGAGTAATCAAATCAGAATCTCTGCATGTGATTCCTTTTTCCTAAAATGTTGAATTTGTTTTCAGTTTTCATAATCATTCCACTATGTTAAAAGAAATGCAAAGTCAGTGACTTAAACCTCCATCTTTTCACAAATGCCTCGCTGGTTTATCAAAGCCCCCAGAGAAAGAGATGTTTGTTTTTGCTGGCTACATTTTACCATGTCATTTATGTCTTCCTTGGCACCAGTCAACAAACACACACACACACATGCGAAATTATATCATACACTGGCATGGAGTCACACTTTGCTTTGGCGCTGTGTCGTTGTCATTGCCTTTCAGTGTTGTGACTCATGCCAATATTCTGATGTATGACTCCTGCAGCTGTCTGTCTGCAAAAACATGGGTGTGTGGGTGAGTTTTCAATATTTAAATGTGTGTGGATTTTTTACAAGGTGTTGACTAAACGTCAAAATCGTGTCACAGCTAGTCGGATGAGTTGCCCTTGTTTCATCTAAAACTTCTGTGTATCTCTGAGGGATAATGTTGCTACCAAATTTGCATTGAATCGGTTTTCTGAATAACACCTTTTTTTTTTTTTTTCTCCTTCCCCATTCCCCTTCTATGTACACAGCTTTGATAGCCATAGGTCAGTACAGTAGCACCATAGAGACCGTGGATGCTGGCTGGTGCAAAGACATCACAGACAAAGGAGCCACACAGATCGCTAAAAGCAGCCGGTCCCTCCGATACCTGGGCCTCATGAGGTGTGACAAGGTAACAAGGCTCATTGCTAAACTTGTGACTACAGCAGATGATTGCTTTGTGTGTGTATTCTGTGTGTGTTCACATATTGTGGCAGAAAGTCATATTTAAGTAAATTTGCATGCATTTGTGTCCCTCAGTAAAGAGTTAAGAGAAGATAGTGATGATTAAAATGGAAATTCAAATATCAAGATTTAACAGTCACTGAAAATATGGAACGTAACAAGCAGAGAATTAAAGTCTTAGATTTGTCATTGAGGCAACACAGTTATTTGCCATCGGGTTCAGAAAACATTGCTATTGAAATTATAGTAACTTTTTAGTGTAATGAATAGACCACCCGCTTTCACTGTGACTAGAAGTATTGTTATTATTTGCCATTTTATGTTTAGGGTATTTTCAGCATGCAAAATATTTCCTCTACAGTTAAACACTCAATCATGTTTGGTTATGAAAATTAGAATTTATAATTGGTTGTCTCTTCTTAATGTTGACATATTATTATTGTTTTCGCTCCCATCTACAGGTACCGCACATGAAAAAAAACAATAGATAGATTTATTTAAACCAAATCCAAACATCTAATTTGTGTAAAACTTAATCATAGTTATCAGTATCGTCTCTGTAAAACTGTTAAGTTATGCAAAAAATATAAATACAAACTAAAGGTATCCGCAATGAGTGAGGTTACTGGGTATTTGGCTTTCCTGCAGCATAAATGTGTAATTATCCTTCTTCTTCATCCCCCTCATCATCATTACTGCTGGTATTCTTGTTGGAGGTTTCTATAATTTCACTCGGTAGCATATTTACTGTCACCAGTTCAAACACAGAATGTAATCTACATGACATTATATCTTGTTGTCTTGAAAATGAAATGATGTGTCTCATGAGATCTCCTGTGTTATTAAAGGGTAAATAAAGAAAATACTGGATGGATAATGTGTAGATTTGCACATTCGGCATCCACGTTGTTTGCATATATTATTTTGAAAATGTGACAGTAATAATGATTAGAAATAAATTGGACCATCACTCAATGCATCTGTGCAAAAATTATCGGTCCCACAGCTGGAAAATGCATCAAATGTTTCCATCATCTGCTGTATACCAACTCTGTTAATTATGAAAATTTGTGTTTGTGAAAAAAGGATTTCTTAATGAGAAAAGCCACTTTTATCAGCTTGTTGAGCTTCTTTCAGTCATTTGTTCTGATGCTGTTACCCCAGCAGATGATGGCAGAAGAGATTAAAACTCTCCACAACAGATTTGTAGAAAATATAGAGGCAAAATTAGCACATAGCGGTTCACCAGATCCTTGTACTTGGCTTCTTATTAATCTCTGGTGCATATTGCAAATATGAAATGGGCTAAATAAAATCTGTAGCAATGCTATCGCCTGTTTTATAAGCCAAAAAATGTATTTTTAACCTCAGCATAAAAACATATTTGATGTTATAAATCATCAAATAAATGTGAAAAATTCTTTGCCAGTCATTACAATGACATTTGTTGTTTTTAGACCTCCATTTAATATCAAATCACAATATCATTGTGTACAGAAGACTTTGGTTTGTGTCAAATGTTTAGATGGATAATATTATTTCGGTTTTTAGTGCGTTCGTGCTTCACATGCCAATCATGAGTTTGACCAGGTAGATGGACTCTAAGTGTCCTTTAAAACAAGAACTGAAATACATTTTTGGCTGCTGAAGCAGCTAAAGTTTAGGGATTGTGCAAATGAAAATGAGATGTTGAAAAAGCAATAAAGGGGTTATAACGGTTGCAGTTTGTTCTCATAATCTCGCAGATATATGTTTTCCAGAAATTGTGCCGCCCTGGTTGTGGCCCTAGTGCCTAGTTGTCTTCAAAAGGGTCAGGTTGGTTTGGATATGATTTATTTCTTAACAAGTGAATCTTTAAATTTTTTTATGTGCCAAAAAAAAAAATAGGATTGAATAAATCTGTATGAGGCTAATCCTTGTTAGAGCATTGTTAATTAGCAGAGGTATATTGACTTTAGGAAATCTTGTCCAATCAGGAACCTTAAAAGCTTTTGTAGTTTTGTTACCAGGATAACAACCTGGCCCATCTTTTTTAACCGAACTGCACTAAACTGGTACTAGTTCATCAGTAGAGATTGGTGCGGTTCAGTTCTGGCTCAGTCCTCAGATAACAAAGAGAGCATGAGCAGACCACGTCACCTATTTACAGTCAGCCCCCGTAATCAGGAAATTTCATGCATTCTTAAAAATACTAGCTTCCATACCGTGCCATACGATTTCCAGCGATGATTCTGCATAGCAGTGTGATGAACCTCAACGTCTGTTGTTGTTTCCTGTCTGTAAGCCCTGATTAGACTAAAGTTTGTCATATCCACTTTCAAAAAACCGTCTCTGTCAAGTAAATTCACCAAAGACTGCCTTCTTCGCCTGCTTTTCCCAAACATTAAAAATATCACAGTTATAACCAAACTCTCTTAATGTTACGGGCACGCCATGTTCATTTGTTTGTTTACCTCTAGAGATCATTTGTACTGTAGATCGTCACTAGGAGGTGAGGAACCGTGCTGACGTGATGTGTAAACAGTCGTAACGAACTGAGCTCACCATGGTTAACTGATCCAAGCTCAGTCCGACCTCTGCATGGATCAGTTTTCAGAGGGTAGTGTAAATGGGGCTTACTTTTCTGTAGCTCAGCTCAAACCCCTTACCTATATAAAAGGTCTACCTAATAATGCCTTGAATAGATTTCTATCATTTTTTTTTCTTTTAGCTTTAGAAACATTTTTACATTTGGTTTTGGATTTCACAATAAAATTCCCCAGTCTCCTTTTAAATTGTGCTAGTGATAAAAAGGTGGTGATAAAAAGTGGTAGGAGGAACTTTGACTTATGTTCAAGGCTGTTCAGCAGGTTGGAAACCCATCAGTTTTATCCCTTCATTATAAAATCGGTGGATATCTGCGAGTTGTGGCCTCCCAGTTGACCCTATGGATTTCTTAGATAAAAATGAATGCTCTCAGATGGTTAAGTGTGTCGAGTGCATCAGTGTATCATATTTATCTATTTAGACTGTAATAAAATCATATTACATGAGGATTTGACAGTGACCCCCATTTGTGAGGTCTCTTGGATGAGGCAGTGTACTCGGTTCACATTACAGCAGACATAAATGTGTATCTATCATATTTATCTGTAAGTAGTAAAGTGAAACAGCATTACACAGCAGGTGATCACTCAGACTACATTTTCATTAAGTTCACCAACACCACACTGACTCATTGACCCAGCAATCGATAGATACAGTCGAGCTAATAAAAACAGGAATGACCCACATTTTAAACTGGAAAAAGAAAAACTGTTTAATTTATCCTCTCAGCTTCCTTTTTGACTTGTAAGGGTGATTATTTAGGCTTTACAATAGATAATTATCACCTAGGCAGAACAGGGGAAGGAAAAACTGATGTTTATTTATATGCTTTATTTTGTTCTGAGTAAATATCACTTCCATAGTGACCTAAATTGTTTTATTCTAATTTCACATTTAACAAAAGAGTGTAAGATTTCCAAATCTCAAACTGTGTTTTAAAGAGTCATTTATCAATTTTCTATAATTAATTCCACTTTAAATCAATCTATTTAATGTTTTCTTATGTTTATTTCAAAAATGTTATTTTTCCCAAAATAAAAAATAAATTTTGCACAAATCTTAAACTGTACTCTTAATAATCAGTCCATAGTCCAGATTAATTTATAATATGTCATCTTCTGGATGAGTGAAATGTCATCCAGAGTACTTGAAAAACAAGATTACAGTTTAATTTATTTGCTCAATATATCAATCAGAAGCCAACAGCTTTTTTTTTTCTTTTTTTCTTCTTCTTGGTTAATAGTATAGTAATAGTATATTTTTTGCAGTGTTTACAAAATGCTGACAGATTAACTATATAAAACTCAGCCTGGTAGCTATTGTTGTGTTTGTTATTCAGAGAAAGGGAGGGAAAACTAAAGAATCAACCTTTGCTCAAGAAGTCAGGGGACAGATTAAAGTAAAAAAAAGCAAAACACATTAAGTAAAGATACGGAAGCAACATCTGAAAACATAGGCCAGGAAGTTCAAGTTTTGTAACAAAGAAGTCTTTCAAATGGATGATGAGACTTATGCATACAGGTACATTAACACAACAGCAGCTTAAGAGAAACAGTTGTTTGTGGAGCCTGGATCTCAGGGTCATTGTAGTCCTGTGGTTGGAACTGAAAAATTGTGCATAAAGCCGGGCATAAAGCTGTGCGGTTTTCGGGGCGATTTTCCAGTCGTGTGAGAATTATTCGATCGGGCGGCTTTCAGCTTGATCATGCGGCGTGTAGTGTAAAGGCGGTAACGAGGAGCGATCTGTCTCTCACGACACAGAAGCATGGTGGGGGTGCTAGTGAAATGGAGTTCTTTATGTAAAATTGACAGACCATAGTAGCCATGTTTGCTCAGCCATGTCTTTGTCCAAAATCGCCTTTCCTTTTTAGGGATTTCAGCACACAAAATGGCACAAATTGCCAAGGCAGTGCGTTTCACTCTAGTGAGCTTCATATTCCTCTTTACTAATTTGGCTTCTGGATAGACGAGTCAGAGTAGGTCCATCTCACTGCGGAGCTGAGTCCGACTTGGTTTTTAGTTGTACAGTGTGAGCAGGTTGATCGCATCAGAGCGTCGGGCTCAACATGCATCGTGAGCCTGGAACTCACACTGTACGACGAAACCCTGTGGTTTCACCGTACAGTGTGAGCTGTAGCTGCATGTAACGATTGGAAAAAAAATCGCACAGTGTATGCCCGGCTTAAGCAAGGTGATTTACAGTCTAAATCAATTAAACAAGTTATGTCACGAGGAATGAGTCAAAATTCCTCCAGACAACTAACAGAGGTTTATGGAAGAATGCCTCAAAGGTTCTACCCAAGTTTAAAACAATTCTAATACTAGTGAAATGTGTGTAAACTTTTACATTTGAGAACAATC